TTATTAATAATAATAATAATAATAATAATAATAATAATAATAATAATAATAATAATAATAATAATAATAATAATAATAATAATAATAATAATAATAATAATAATAATAATAATAATAATAATAATAATAATAATAATAATAATAATAATAATAATAATAATAATAATAATAGTAATAATAATAATAATAATAATAATAATAATATAGAGTACCTAGTGCGTACATTAGTGGCAACAGTGGAATGAAACTATATTTGATTTGACCCTCTGTAGCTCAACATAACCAAGCACAAAAATCCATTACAAACCACCACTCTTGAATCTCCAATAACAAACCAATAACACTCTTCCCCATTCTCTCTTTTTTAGTACTATACTTATAATAATATAACAACACACTTCCTTTCATACCATTTTTATATTCCATAAATTATTTTATAATAAACTAACTATAATTTAACTATGACTCTCTCCCTCAACAACATGAAACAAGTCTCATTACTTCTGCAATTTTGGTCTATTACTCATAACCTCAATCTTTCCAATAAAACATAATCAATCCTTCTCATTTCTAAAGGTTCCTCCTATTTTTAAATTTCCCTTTTACCTTTTTTGTTTATCAATAATAATTCTAATTCTAGCAACTAATTTTCATTACCATAATATCTATCTATTATGATGACATCAAGATAGATAAATATAGATAGATAGATAGATACTTTTCTCTTTTCTATTTTTTCCCTATATATACACTAGAATTGATTTCTTGCTTTGTTTCTTACTTTGATGATGGAATTTGTAACTGTAGACTAGAATCGGTTTCATAGGTTAGTTAATAGAATCATGCGTGATTGAAAAAAATTATGATTCCTTTAATGAATTTTTTTTATCACTTAACTGCAGTTTGCTGCTATAAAGGTGTGTTGAAGGCTGATTTTGTTGCTGTGCGGATAAGAGTAAGTTGATTGAGTATGAATTCGGCGCAGTTTGTTTCGTCCAGAAGGATGAGTGTGTATGATCCTATTCATCAGATTAATATGTGGGGTGAAGGGTTTAAGAGTAATGGGAATTTAAGCGCGTCGATGACGTTGATCGATGAGGCCGATTTGAAATTCGATAGTAGTCAGGTAAATTAATGCTTATGAAAGTTGTGTCAAATGAGATTGTTTTTGTATTCTGTTTACTAACCAAATTGCATTGATGTTGTGTAATGGTTAGTCAGAGGATGCTTCTCATTGTATACTGGGAACATCTAACAAGTATGATCAAGAAGCTAGTAGACCGATCGATAAGGTAAGAGCATGAAAATTTGTATTTGTTGCTTCCGAATTTTGGATGTTGTAGATGTAATCGTTACTGTTTTTTGTTTGTATATCGTTGAATTTTGTTTCTGATATGATTAAATGTGCAGATACAAAGGCGTCTTGCACAAAATCGAGAGGCTGCTCGCAAGAGCCGTTTGCGGAAAAAGGTTTGAAAATTGATGAATATGGCAAGTAATTACTACTTAGAATAGATATACTGATCAACAAATTTCTTTACAGGCTTACGTGCAACAGTTAGAATCAAGTCGTTTGAAGTTGGTACAGTTGGAGCAAGAGCTCGAACGTGTAAGACAGCAGGTATGGCGAAGATGAGTTGTTATCTTACTTGTAGTTTCTATTTTCAATCATTTCATGTCACTGTCGTCTTTCTTTCTTTTTCATGTCTCTAATACCTCGAGGCAACAAAACTGCAGGGAATGTATATGGGTGGTGGGTTGGATTCGAATAATATGTGTTTTGTTGGACCTATGAATTCAGGTTGGTTTTTGATAATGCTACTGCTGCTATATTGCGTTTGATTTTTCCGATTAGTTCTTGCATTGCATTCTAAGGACACCCTTATCTGTAGGAATTGCAGCCTTTGAGATGGAGTATGGACATTGGGTTGACGAGCAAAACCGGCAAATCACAGAAATGAGAATTGCTTTAAACGCACATATTAGTGACATAGAGCTCAGAATTCTAGTCGATGGTATGATGAACCACTATACTGAAATCTATCGCATGAAATCCGCGGCAGCAAAAGCAGATGTTTTTTACGTGATGTCCGGCATGTGGAAAACAACGGCTGAAAGATTTTTCTTGTGGATCGGTGGCTTTCGGCCTTCTGAGCTTCTCAAGGTGATTGATTGTTCATATTTAATTATGGCATGAAAAATGTGTAATATGTATGATGGAATTTATAACTTGATTTAATTGCAGATTCTTGGTCCAATGATTGAACCCTTGACAGAGCAACAACGGTTGGATATTGATAACCTTGGACAATCGTGTCAACAAGCCGAAGATGCCCTTTCGCAAGGCATGGAGAAACTCCGGCAAACACTCGCTGATAGCGTAGCAGCTGGACAATTCATGGAAGGAACTTATGTTCCACAAATGGCTTCTGCAATGGAGAGATTAAAGGCTCTCGTAAGCTTTGTGAATCAGGTATTGTACCGAGTCTTCTTGATAGCCACTCTCATTTTAATAAATTTTTTCCCTTTTAGAAGAGTCATAGATTTAACCGTGATTCATGTACAACAGGCTGACCATCTTCGGCAGGAAACCTTACAGCAAATGTCGCGAATACTTACAACCCGTCAGTCAGCTCGGTGCTTGCTAGCTTTGGGAGAATATTTCCAACGCCTGAGGGCTTTGAGCTCACTATGGTCTAATCGACCCCGCGAACCAGCTTAGTCTTGCAACATGACTACAATAATGTAAAGTTTGTAATATGAAACAGTGATGTGATGAGTATGGTCATTCTCAATGGCCGCGAGCGTCGAAACCATGTACAATGTGTGGTTTAGGCTGCTCAAATTTTCCCGCAGTCTTGTGTTATGGAGAATCTGTGAATATGACTGCGCATTTCATGCATAGGAGTTTGTGAATGAATTGATTTTGGATCCATGTATATTGGATTGTTATAAAATGAAATGTTTAGAATACGCATCGAGTCTGTGTGAAAGTTGGTCTTGTAAAATGCATATAATATGAAAGTTGTACTTTTAGAAATAAACCGATTCTCTTGGTGGATATAGTTTATTTTCCTTCTTAGATAAATACTTGAATATGAAGAAAAAAAGTGACAACTGTAATCTAATGAGAGAAAACTACTATGTAAATCTAGCGGTTTTTGTGACTGTTGCACGGTGCTGCAGCTACATGCCATCCGTTTTCATTACAAATGTCTATGAATTGTCTCAAAAGCCTGCAGGAAAACCACCCTTTCTAGGATCACTTACTGCCACAAGCTTTCCAATACCTTTGTTTCTTCCAGAATGCTCAGAAATGTCAGCAACTATAAGTTGGCATATTGTCCCACCAGCAAGTCCCTGTAGGACATGGCCCTTACTTCTAAGGAATGCTCTGATATCAGCAGAAAGTTCAAAGTGGTCACCACTCACCGTTGTCCAATTCTCATAATAAACCACGTTAGGTATCAGCTGCACAAATTAGCCATATGGTGAGAAGTGATTTTTCCAACACATCTCGTACAGATGTTATACAAATGTCTGACACTACAACACGTCTACTTCTAGAGGTATCCGTGCCTCATAGCATAATAGAGGCAAATTTAAATTTCTATACCTGGTGATAGAACCTCGGAGCCGTTACAGAAGAAAACGGATCCATTCCTTTGACAAAATGATTCAAAAGAACTTCTGAAGTTGCAGCAATAATCATAATTCCCCCACTTGCACCTACTACTGCTTTCACTTTCCCATCCTGTAATATAAAAACTAAATACTTAAAAGAATGACCACCTAGAATTTCATAATCAATTATTTTAAAATGTGAAAAGAACCTTGAGGGCAATGATCGGTGACATGGATGATAATGGTCGCTTCCCCGGCACGATGAAATTGGCGGGAGCTGGTGGTGGAACATCTTTGGAAGCATTCATAGGCATTGAAAAATCATCCATCTCATTGTTTAACACTATTCCTGTACTTGGTGAAAGAATCTTTGCACCAAAATACGCATTTACGGTAGAAGTCATGGAAACAGCATTTCCCTTGAAGTCTATTATGCTTAAATGACTTGTACCATGATCATTTATCTGATTCCACCTATAAATAAGGGGTGAAATTAAGCTGCTATACATGATTATTGTAAATAACTAGCAGTTAATTAAGTGATTTCAGAAGAAGCTTACTTGCCACCATAATGACTTGAATTATAAGTCCTATTATCATTGATGTCTTTTCTCAACTCTTTCGCAAACTTAGTAGAGAGCATATCAGAAAGAACATCAGTTACATTTACAAAATCAGGATCACCAAGATTCATTCTCACAGCAAAAACATGTTTCAAAGCCTCGATTTCTCTATGGATCCCTAATGCACCAGAAAGTCCCGAAGGAAGTTCATATTGTGCTAGAATGTTCAGCAGCTGTAGTAACAGAAAAATTATATTGGCTAAGTCCTTTTTCATCGACAAAAAGAGAACACAACAAATAGACTTACCAGCATCAATGGAGGTCCACCAGAAGGAGGAGGCATGCCAAGGATCTTCAATCCAAGAAAATCTATAGATATAGGTTCTTTTTCTTTAATAGTGTAACTTTTGAGATCTTTTATAGTCAATATCCCTCCGGCTTTTTGAACATCTTGAACTAACTTAATCCCAATTATTCCGCCGTAAAAAACTTGTGGACCGAACTTTGAAATTGCTCCGAGAGTTTTTGCTAGTTGTTTATTGTAGCATATTTCACCTACCTCCAAGAGTTTTCCATGTGGTGCAAAAACACTACGAAGACCGTTATCGTTTAATATACCTGACTCTGATCTTTTCATCTGTGTGTAAAGGTATGGTGATATTTTAAACCCTCTAAAAGCAAGAATCTCAGCTGGCTTTACAAGTCTCTCCCATGGAATCTTCCCATGTTGTTTCCATGCCTTGTGAAGGCCTGCTAGTTCTCCTGGAACTGCTACTGAGAGGCCACCTGTTTCCTTCAAAGTAGTATTGCCACCATACATATCCTGGGAGAAGTGAATGTATCATATGACATTAAAGAGTGATTTCAACAAATTAGAAACTTTTGAGTATGGGTGGAAAAATGGGCCAGGCCGCCGAGCATGCCCATTTTGCTCGCATTTTTTCGTGGGGTGGGTTAAGATTTTAGGCTCATACACTCTAATATGCTCGCTCCACTCCATTATTTTGTGTGCGCGGGCATTAAAAATCTTTATGAATGCAAGGCCCGCATACCCGCTCCACCCTCATTTTTTCGCATGGTGGGTCAAGGTTTTAAGCCTGTATCCTCAATTATGCCCATCCCGCTCCATTTTTTTGCGGGTGCGGATATTTACAAGAACTTTTGCAATTTTAAGCATTTAGGTGTGCAAGGCCCTCATGCCCGCTCCGCCCTCATTTTTTCGCAGGGCGGACAAGGTTTTTGGTCCGCCGCCCCCAACCTGTTTTTTCGAAGGCGGACATTAACAGGTTTTTTTTGCAATTTTTAGCTTTTAGGAATGTGAAGCTCACATGCCCGCTCCACCCTCATGCCCTGCCCCGTTTTTTTTCGGGCTACTGCAGGGTGGCCTTAAACGGACGGCCGTATTGAAATGACGAGAAATTAAACAAGAGGTTCTTTTACTAGTTTCCTTTGTTCTTATCGTTTCTCTCCACGACAACTCGGTTCAAAAGTAAAGAGATAAAAGAAAACACAAACACAGTACACATGATATTTGATCACAAAATTTGGAAAATTGTACATGATTGAAAGGTACCTTGGAAGCAAGAAGAGGAGCAGTTTCTCTCATATCAAAAGCCTTTGCTACTCCATTAGCTAACCTGATCAGCATAAAGCCACCACCACCTATACCACTTGAAGCCGGACTAACAACCCCCAAACAAAGGGCAGCAGCCACAGCTGCATCCACTGCATGCCCCCCTTCAACAATAACATCCTTCCCAATCTTAGAGCATCGACGGTCGTCGGTCGCAACAGCTCCATGATGAGCAATGATTACTTCATTTCTTGTTTTTGAATGATTAAGTCTTGAAGCATATGCCAAATTGGAAACAAATAGAAGGCATGCCATGACATGCCATAACAACATTGCTGCAGTCATATTAATATTCACAACGTTGAATTATAGCAAAAAATTTAGGTTCATTAGAGAAAATAGTAATAATAGAATAGAATACAATTTTGAAGACAAATATGTTTAACATGAAGTTTTAATTATAATTGCGATACAGATTGCGTTCGTCGCAGTGTAAATTAACCACAATTTCTTTTTAATAATAAAAACGGTTAATAACAATATAGTATCAGCTCTTTCTGATACGGTTTGTCGCGGCTGTTATTGAGTTATAGCAATAAAGAACATGCAAATTACATAGTAAAAGAACTGATGAACTTACCTGATAATGGAGAAGAGCGAGACATGGAATGTGTAAGGTGTGATAGTGAAGAGCCTTGTGGAATATCACAAGAGTTAGGACGCCAGAATGGACTATATGTGGGAACACAGAGACAGCAGAGACTAATATACTTCCTCTGATTTGATTATTAAGTTTAAATTAAAATAAATAATTTTCATTAATATGGTTATATTTCAAATTATTAGACTTTTCAAAAGATAGTAAGGTTGAAAAGATTTATATACAAATGATATACTAGTAACATTTGATTAAGAAAATGAATACATTAAATATAAATCTATTGCCCTATCTCCAAAGAGATCAAACTAGTCAATTTATGAGCATGTGTTAAAATGTGATTAGGTAGCTTACCAACAATATCCATCATCCAAGCCAAACTCCATCCCCACACTAAAGAGTGGACAATGAAAAAAATAAATAAATGGTGAACATTTTCGTGGCTTTCACAGCCAGACACACTACAAAAATAATACAATTGTAGAATCCAAGATGAACTAAGTTGACCAAAGTAAAAAAACGTATCATTAAATAACCTAGAAGAAAAAGAGACACCTTCAACCACACCAAATAATTCTAGGTCTAAAAATATGATTTGACGAATCTTCAATGATCTTCTAACATGCAAAAAAGATAGATCTTTACTCTGATTAGATGCATACAACTTCTCCTTTCAACGTGTTAATTATCATCTATTTTTTATTAAACATTTGGCCACACAACACGTGACATCACTCAAGAAAAATTTCAACCGCTCTAGATATATATAGTAAAGCGCGTGATTTAAGATATTCAAATTCATTTTCACTGATCAATGATATTTTAACTATGTTTTTAGAGTGTTTCGTCTGCAAATCTTAAATAGTTGAACCCTATGTTGTGCATTTTATTGTCGTATCTGAGTTTTTTATTTGTTTCAGATGAAAAGTATAAGACAAGATAAATTGGAGTCGAATCGGGACAGATTACACGAAGACTACGCAAGGAAGGGGTCACTAGCATAAAAAGTAGAGCCCAATATGGCATGGACATAGCAAGCACTACTACCTGTATTGGGATCCCCTCGCCATTTCATTTTAAACCCCTTATGATCTTCCTGTAGCCAGCACTACAGCGCGTAGCGCACTAGAGGGTGACCTCTTATTCCATTTTTCGGTTATTGTTTTTGAAGGCCCTTCAATTTTCAACCAGCTATTTCTTTCACCATCAATACCCCATTACACGAATTTGTGTCATACTTTAATGATTGAGACCTATATAAAGCTATGTAACATTGAGAAAACACTACTGCAAAATATATATTTTGTAACATCTTATTATTTCGGACGTTTAATCAACTAAAGTAACAACTCATATTTAGGCGCCTTCATTTTATTTATTTATTAGTAGAGTTTTTTCCACGGTCTGACTAACACCCATGGTAATAGATTTAGGATTACACGTTTCGAATCCCAACATCAACAATTTTCTATTTTTTCGTTAAAAATTAGTGTTTCCCTTTAATTTATATACTTATATTAAAATTAAAATAATTTCCACCACTATCATTTTTTCCAACTGTGGTGAAATATGGCATTCATTTTTACAATCTCAGGGAGTTTACTTTTCACCATCTCACAGAGAATTTAGCTTTTATAGACAATCACAGTTTTTACAACCTCATGGATGCTTTGAATGAAATATCTTCATTCATTTTTACTACCTTGAAAGTTCTTACATTAATGATGAATGTTAAGGTTCAACCATATCATTTACTTGATAAAGTGAAACTTAACATTAACCTTTAATTAAACTAAGTGGTCAATATATAGTATTAACTTTTGAAGAATGAAATGTGAATTTTGAAGGCGAAATGAGTTAGGTTTAGTAAAAAGGTGAATGACGTGCTTGTTATGCTTTTATATACAAATTCTTATATCATTTTACAACGGTAGGGAAAAGAAACCGTGGTAACATGAGTAAGATATCACTATGATTGATTTTGTCAACCGTAGTGAAAAGTGTTTCTCTTAAATGAAAACATAACACATTTTAGTTTATTTCCTTCATAACACAACAGTGCCCTAGCGAAAGCCCATTCGAACGAAATAAGGAGATAGAAGAGATCAATCTCCATAAAAACACCACGCAAACTCCATCATTTCGGGTTTGAATCAAGGAGGGAAAAGACGAAACTTCAAGAAGGGTACACGAAAATCATTTCTTGGCCTCTGTTTCCAGTGATTTCTGGTAAACAACCACTAGTCCTCCAAACTATCGAATAAACTTACTGACTGTTATTCAATTCCTCTGGTAACTCGCAGGATCGACTAGATTGATCCTAGGACGTGTTGGTCATTAGGGTAACTCTCATGATCGAACAGGTATTCATGGTTGGTATTTAGAACGTTGTGTAGGTGTTTGACTTATTTCGATTTCTCTCTCAAAGATCTAAAGGTGTAATCAAAATATATGTGCGCGAAACTAAATTGCATGAATAAAAGTTAATTGTAAAGACATGTAAAATTGCATAAAAGATAAGTAAATGGCTTCGAAACGTAAAACAAAACAGTTAATGTAAAAGATGCTCTGGAATGTAAAAGATTCGAGATATGAAGAAAGCGTTTAATGCAAGAAATCTGTAAAATGACTTTAAGTAAAAATAGGTGTTCGAAGGATAAAAACTTGAAGATGAAGGCATGAAAAGTATGACAGTTTTCTGAAATGTAAAGTGTTTGAAATGTAAAGAAAGCATTTAAATGTAAGGCATCAATGAAAAGATTTCGAATAAAAAGACTTTAAATGAGAAAACTTGTAAATGGTATTGATACAAAGATAAAGGAAAGTACTGGAAATGATAAAGGGTTTTCATTAAATCATAAATATGTGGTGCTATCATACGTACATTGCTCTTGCATTCGTTTCCCTAGCCATGTGGTAATTTGAATGTTTACTGAGTATTTAGTACGAATAGATATGACACACGAAATCCTAATGCTAAGACTTCTATTTATACTACTTCGACCATAACGGTCTTGCTATAAGATTCTGCCACGTTCAGAACATGCAGAGCAATGCCTCTCTCTTACTTCCACGTGTCTTCGAATGCTCCAGCGCATATATTTCAAATTTCGAACATCCCGCTTGCATTTGAATTTCAAATGTTTTGGCACTTCTTCGCTTCGAACGCACTTCTTTAGACACAGCCTTGTTATCATTTCGAGACTTCTTTAGATATATTCCCATAATTGCCACTCGAAGCTCCAAGCTTTGGTATGCTCATTCGAAACACTGCTTCTGCTATTTCGAAACATGACGTTTTGTTTCATTTCAATCGAAACGTCCAATTCACTTGGCTTCTAATAATATTATCAAAATCTTCAGCCAACAAAATGCCCCTTTAAAATATGTATTTCGATCTCTTTGAGAAATACTTATTTTAAACATATACACAAGATTTTGATGCGACCTTCGAATCATCGTAACATTTAATGCATTTGACTCCAGTCACGTCAATCATAACACTTTTTAGATTCCTTAACCGCCTGGAACCACTTCACAGTATGGTGCAGTTACAAAACAATGATTATCTTTAATCACGCTTACTACCAATGTTAACTTTACGCCACCTCTTCATCACACCAACCCATGATTTCCACGTATCACAACCTTATTCAGTGGATGCTTAAACTTCCACATTATAAAACATCATCAACTTAGTCTTTTTCTCTTCTTCCCACATTCTGAATCTTTTCTCCTTATTCTCTCACCGAAAACCCTAAGCTTTCAACATTCTTCAAAAAATGTCTTCTTCTACCTCATCCCAACTAAAAAAGGTTTCCAAGAAGAAAGGAAAGACCGCAGGAACTACAATGGAAAGTAAGGTTATCACTCACCAAGGTCAATATGTTCTTGCTCCCCAGATGATCTCAAAGGAGAAAGAAATGCTTTATGCATCCCAGGTACTTATTCCTACCATCGCTGCTGGTAAGAGGTTAGCTTTAATGGGCCCTCTTACGATTTTTGGAATTTTAAAAGATACCAGGAAAATTTTCCCAGTTTGCTATAATTTCAAACCCTTGTTTAACAAAATGGACGCCCCTAAGGCAATAGAATCTTCTGGCTCAAACACCATGGAAAATCCAACTGTTCCTCCTAAGGACCCTTTTGTATTAGACTATGTAAAGAGTAATTTTAAACTGTTTCGATCTTGCCCCACCTCCGACACTGCTTATCAAAACTGGTTCAATAAGGTAGAAGCTAAGAAATCCCAGCAATAGGAAGAATTAGGTATCTATAACTTGATTAAGCTGTCGAAGCCTGGTTTCACTTACAGCCACCCTTTGTTATTCACGTCCCTCTATTTCTGGGACAGTACCTATAATACTTTCCATCTCCCTGGTGGAATGATTACCCCTACCTTCTTTGACATAGCGGCCATCACTGGGCTATCGCCAGTAGGAGAAACATATATCCCTGACAACAAAGAACATTCGAGTATAATCGACTTCGAAGTCAAACTAGCAAGTTTTTCCAAGTTTATCAACCACTACCATGCTGAAGGAGACAGTGTGTCTGATGTAGAACACATTGCTTTCCTTACCCTATGGCTGTCAAGATATGTTTTCTGCAGTAGATCCCTACAGGTATCCAGTAGGTTTATTCCTCTAGCTAGGGATTTGCACGAGAATCGAAGAGTGTGCTTAAGTGAACTGCTCTTAGTTGACCTTTATGAAAGCCTAAGGTCAGCTGTTTCGAGCCTAAAATCTCATACCTCAAAGAATATCCTGTTAGCTGGCCCTTTTTGGTTACTTCAGCTATGGCTAAATGCCATGTTCGAACCCTCCTTGTCAACCGCCAACACCATTGATGAACAAGACCCTGAAATAACTGATAGAATAGTCGAAGGCACTAGGCTGTGAAGATTAACTCCAAATGACGACAAGGATGACTTCAAAGTCCTATTCTCGAAGTACATCATGATATTCTCTAAGAGGCATAAGTTCGAAGAGACCATGGCGCCTTTTG